TGAGTCCTCTTGCGCCCCCTCCCACTTTGACCCCTGCTTATACTAATGGTTTTTCTGAAATATTCCATGCACTGTCTTCCATTAATATCTCTACGAGACATTGCACATCAGCGCTATACTTGACATACCTTTTGGATTGTCATGGCTGCTCCAACATATTATTCCGTGGGCCTCTTCCAATGTATAAGATCTACTCCTCTTCCTAAAATAACCTGGTTCCTTACATCTATATATCTGTCTCTTTTATGAATACCCACGTTTTAGATAGTATTATCGTTACCAAACGATCTCTGATTTTTTTAATAGTGATAGTTCGAGCATTGATTCACTTTACTCCCCTCTTCCAACTTTATTATCCTTTGTAATTTATTCCAATACAAATTTCCTTATTTCATATTCTCTCAAATAATGTGCGTTTTATTATATTAATATATTCCTCTTTATTTTCAACACAATTATTTCCTCTTTTAAACTCAGTTATTCATTACATTTATTTATTTCCTATATATATATTTATATCACCCTACTGTATTATTTCTTTCATTCTTTGAGTAGTTAACATATATATATGTACACCTTCTCCAAAAATTTATACGATGGACATACAAGTCCAAAAGAGACGTGACTTAAAAATATAATTGCTCAAAACTAAACACAATAATCAATATAAACTACAACTTACATTACTGCGGCTTAAGTGTTCATGTTGTCTCTTGTACTAATCTGCTTAGCTGGCGTTTTACTGTAGATTCTTTTTTTTTCGAAGTTATTTGAAGGTCAGTCCTCCAATGGTGGTTCAAATGAATTATTTCCATGGAAATTAGTGAAGTTAAAAATTAAAAAAAAAAATTTTAAACTTTTTAGAAAAATTTCTTTGACTTAAAGCTCCCTGTTGTTATTCAGAGGACTTTCCGACTGCGCCAAACTGTAGCGATTCCTCTTACAGATGTTGAATTGTACAAGGTGATGAAAGACAATTTGTAAATAGTACAAGTCAATCTGATCATTATTAGCATGATTGCGAACGTAAAACTGTTTGAATATTTTTTGTGTAGTTGAATATTTTCAGAGTCTTGGACTCTTTTTAACAAATCACGTCTGAATATTGGGTGCCTGGGTCTCAACTATATAGGCCTAATCTCTGCTAGTCCTCTCCTATCGATAAGATAGCGTTGATCCCCTTTTTCTATCGCTTGTGTAAGTACAAGGTCCAGGAAATGCCATCAACCAACTATCTAATGGTCGAATCGCAAGATATCTAACGTGTCGTTTTATCATCAACATAAAAGTGCCCAGTTTCTACTGTTATAATATTTGAATAACGGAGCTATTTTAATTTTTTCTTTTAAACTGATCAATATCTGCTATTGTTTAATTGTCGGAGTCTTATGCGAGCTTTTCTATTATCGATTATGATTATTATTTGGAACTGTCGTCTGTATTAGTTTACTATTTATTAATATTGTATTTTAAAATATTTGTATTTATTAATATAATATTCTATGCTTGAAATATCAAACCAAAATTAAAAATATTATTATTTATTTGAAATACCATGTAAAAATGTAAAATACATTTCTTTGATTACCATAAACTACAGTAGTGTTACCTATTTAATATTTATTATTCACAGACCACAGTGTCGTCTTCTACAATATGTATATATTGTATGGTAATGTAACATAAAGCCCGTTCCTTCAGTGGAAAAGTTAGTTATTTAGTCATTTTATTCAGACATTTCCCTAAAAGAGACGGCATGCAATTTGGACATCCCAATTTATATTTATTTTTTTCACACGCAATTTGGATGCACCGACATTTTCCATTCCTCCACTTATTTTATCGAAAATTATGCATCCCCCTTACAATTATATACAAATATCAATAAACATAGCTAAGTTATAAATAAAATGAGGGATAAATAGAATGAGGAATAAAACATCATTATCGAATGTGCTCACTTATGACTTACGACTTACGAGGGTGATGGGGAGAAGAAGATTCAGAAAAAAGTAAAAGGTTTAGATTTTTTCTCAAAAAAGACAGCGAATCATAGTAAGTAGTGGTATCTACATTGCGGCCAAGTCTAGTTTATTCCTCATTCAGAAACTGACCAAGTGTTAAACAATACAAATAAAAGAGAAGTGTTGTTCTTTAATGTAGGATTGCATTGAGGTTATGAATTAAAAAATAGCAGACTTGGCCACAATATAGATTTCACTACTTAGATAGGCCGACTTTTTTGGGAAGGAGTTTGGAACTTGGCCTTTTTTCACTGTTATGTTTTTGTTGGGGATCTAGTCATCTGTATTGCCTTCATGTTCATCTGTAACACAAAAAAAAATATAAGTAGGATCATTTTAAATTATTTTTTTCGTAATTTTACGAATAATTATTGCACTGTATGATAAGGCATTTTCTTACGTTCTCAAATTTGAATGCACGGTGATTATCGGTCAATATATTTTTGTATGCAGAAAAAAAACTTCAACGTCCACTTAAATGATCGGCGCGTACTTAAAATACGTTAAATCGTTAATGTTTATATCTTTGGGTAATCCTTTAAAAATTTCTTCATCTGCCCATAAAATGTTGGAAATTTTTATCATCAATTGATGGCCTTTATTTTTATTCAACACATTTTTTAGTTTTGTTTTTTATCGAAATTCCGTGTTCATCGCTTATTTGGATTAGTCTTAACCTCGCATCCGAGTCTAATGAAATAGCTGGCAAGTGGTAGTCCTTGCTATATAATAATTCCATATTTCCATCGGTAGAGATTATTTCATATTTGTAATAACATACAAAGTATATTTAAATGTAGGTACTTTCATAGTTATATTCGAAAAATGAAATTAAGATGCCAAACTAAAAACCAAAAATATATACTATTTAGTGTAAGTAAAAAATTATGTATTATAAAATTGTATTATAAGAAAAGGTTAGGTTTAGAGTTCTATACTCTATACTTAGTTTTTTACTTTTATTTACTTATTTTTTATTTTGACGACCTTAATTGTGTTATAATTAGTATACCCATGTGTTTTGACCCTCAAATATATTTTTAATTTTTTTATAGCTCTTGAATAAACAAGTTTGGAGACCCCCATTTAGGTATTTTATTACGAACTCTACAAAATATTCATTTGACATAAAAATTTTACATTTTTTTATAGATAACTTCATATATGTACTAGTACATTGGTACCTACAGAATTATTTATCATCCGTCAAACTTGTAACCTTATAATACTCACAGATTAGTGTAAAACATTTAAATGTTTTGAAGAGTAATAGGTAGTCTAAAGTCTTCATATTATGCAGAAAAAATAATGCTGATATACAGTTATATTAGTGCGACTCCTTACATTTTTTAAATGTTGTACATTAATAATTTAACTATTAATTAGGTAATTCTAATCTATTAAAATACTTTCAATTTTACTCTTCAAGTTCTTGATGTTTGATTTAATTTTGTATTACACTAATATTTAATTCTTCTTCTTAGAGTTTCTATCCATTTTGGATGTTGGAAATCATGTTGAATGTTGTTTCTCTTTTTAGCAATGAACTATTTATTAACCTATGAAAAAATTAATTTGTTGTTGTACCAAATGAGTCTCAGAGATTTTTGAGCGATGTCATTCGTCTTTCAATATTTCTCTTACCTTCTATTTTTCCTTAAAGTATTAGTTGCGCCCTACCACTTTCCTTAGATATAGCTTTCTTAACCTTTTTTGAGTAGTTCTTTTTTCATGAATGCTCTCATGTCTCATTTGCTTGTTTGCTGTGGTTTTTACATATTTGAAGTCCCACTCTAAATTTCCCGACTATATCTGACTCAATGTCTGTGCCAAAATATGTTTTAACTCTTAAACAACTATTATAGAATCTTTTAGGAATGTACAAAGGAATAAGCATGGAGTCAATTTGATTCCTAACAGTTCCACGGGTTGATCCTTTGGAAAAGTCTATGTGTCACCAATTTACAAAATGTATTCACTACTGTAAGATCTTCCTCTTCCCTAAAATATATGATTAATGTTTTATATTCGGAAATAAAAGCTCTTGGTATACTTAACTATTAGTGATTCTCACCTGTGTTTTTTATTATACAAATTATTAAAATTGAGTGAAACCCATATTTGAAAACTAAAAAACTATACATTATAAAAATGTTCAGCAATATTTGACATGGGTCCCCGATTAAATTATATTTAATTAGCCATTGCTATTTACTATGAGACTATTTTTATCATTAAATATTATTACTGCACAATATTATTAAAAAAATGTATTATTTACCTAGTCAATAATATACATTATGCACAGATTTTAAATATAAGAATATAAATTAAAAGTGAAATTTGTCGGTTGATTGACCCAGAACCATTTTTTTAAAACCATAAATACTTAAGTTATTTAAAAAAGCATTTTTAAGGACTATGAAAACTTAAAAAAAATATTTTGTTAGTTCTTAATAGTCATTTATTGTTTTTGAAATATATTAAGTTAAATTTTTTATTTATGGCTTAGCTATTGAATCATAACCTACTTTAAATATGACCATACAATTTATCCTTTTTAGGTAGTATATATTAGGTATAGTATTTTCTTAAAAATATTTATTTATGGTTGTACTTATTTTAATAAAATATTTTTAGCTAATAGCATTCATTATAAATAATATAGATTGCTCACTGCATTGTTCATTTATAGTAAATTTAATATTTTTTATGAGTTTTCATCAAAATTTGTAAAAATATTGTGTGTTGCAGGAGTTGATTATCTTTTGAGGCCCTAGTTTTGTTATATGATTAAAATATATAGCCTTCTGTTTCCTTAATTATCTATAAAATCATAATTTTAAACAGGATCTATATTATCAATTTTCATATGTAAAATTTACATTTATTGATTTGCCATTATATTTTTCTGTACTAACTACAAAAATATATAAAATTAAAAACCGTATTATAATCATGAAATTTACTTTACAGAGACAAGTTCAGATGATATTGACGAGCAAGGAATTATAGATAAATCAAGGTAACTGTTATATTTCATAATTATTTTTGTCAATTAAAAAAATATATCATAAGAGCTATAATATGAAAAATATTTATATGATATAATTTATCTTAGGTTTCTTTAGATGTATTTAATAAATAAATATGTAAATTTTTGATGCCACAATGCTTCTTTTATAATCTTTTGGAATATTTAAAAAATACATAATTTTTGAATACCATATTGCTAAAGAAAGTAGGAATGGTTAACTTTTGAACCGTTACATTTAAAAAAAATTTATTAGGTCAAAGTATGAAAGTTTGAATAAAATTCAAATTCATGTTTTTGAAAGCTTAAATTAAATTTGGCCCATTTTAAAAAAAAATTATGATGAAATACTTGGTATTGCCACTAATTATAGCTTTGTAATAAAAAAATTACTGATTTATTGTATGTTAAAATAAGGATGAATCACTGATGTAGTGACGTATTTATAATAAAGTATACAAATTATAAAATTCAAAATTACAAAATTATTATTTAACAAAAATAAGATGTATAAGTATTTGGTATATAAATAACTAACTAAATTAAACAGTTATCCAGTTTAATAAAGATTTTTCTAATATATTAATCTTAAAAAAATAACAATTAAGAAGTATGTTTAGTTTTTTAGTTAGTTGATGTATATTTTGTAATTTATCAAACAAAAAAAATATTAATTTGTTTTTTTTTCAATTTTCTAGAGATGTTTATCAGAGAACTGCCTGGAATAAATTGCATGTGGCAGTTTTTTACTTAGTGTACAAAGTTAATGGTGTTAATATTGGAACTGTGCAAAAAGAGTTATTACAGCTAAATATGAAAAGAGCTAATAATATGTTTTCTCAGCTTATTATTCAAAAACAACTGACTTCAACCAAAGATACTCATGTTTATGCAACTTTAATTTCTGTCATAAACCTTGTAGTTAGTGTTTTAGTAATATGATTTGATTCAATAAATTTATCGTATATAATTGATTTGTAAAAGTTCACTTTCTTATGTATTTAGCTTCCAGAAGTAGGAGAATTAGTTTTGAAAAGATGTTATAAGAACTTCAAAAGTTCTTATTTTAGTAATGTAGTATCAGATTGTATAGCTTCTACAATGTTCATTGGACATTTGGTTAACCATGGGGTTGTAAGTTTTTAATTAATTTTGAAAAATGTGCAGTTCTTGATTAAGTTTATTTTTAGGCTGATGAAAAAGTGGCAGTAGAATTATTAACAATTTTCTTTCATTGCGGAGATTCATTAGCTATTAAAATAGCTATTGTAATTTTGGAAGTATGTGGTAAAAAATTAAGCCAAATCCATGAAGATACTTTGAATGTAGTATTTGATCGGGTATGCAAATTGTTGAATAATGAAGAACTTTACGAAGAGGTAAATAATATTGTTTTTATGTTATTTATTAGTTCAGAGTATATTTATTTATTTTTACCATTTTCATGCTATTCGTATTTGGGTCTTAAAATTTGTTATAAAAATGATTGTTGGTACCTTTAAAGAAAAAAATGTTTAAAACATTTTTTTTTTACTTTTTGAAAATATTTTTACATTCCATGTTTGCATAAATTTTGTACTGGTAGTACCTACTAACTAACTACTGAGGTTTATTAGATTTTTTTTATTCTTAATATAAATAATTCATCTAATTTTAGGATGCAAATGAACTGAAAAAGATATTGAAATTACAAAAAAATGGATTTAAGTTTCAACAATTTGATTTAGTACCAGCCAATGAGTGTCAAGTCGCTCATTGTGTATCTATACACTCAATTTTATCTACTAAATCAAATAAAATAGGTAATATATATTATATATATTTAAAATTAAAATTAAAACTTAAATTTTATATTAATTGCAATGAAGGTTACCGCTATGATCCCGAATTCGAACTTAATGAAGAAATGTATAAGAATTTAGTATTAACATTACAAGGATATGATAATGAAGAAGAAAGTGAATTGGAATCTGTAAATGATTTTAATAATCAATTTGATGGTGAAAAAGAATGTAAGACCCTTTTTAATCTAAATATTAGCTTATTATACTATAAATCAAATTTAAAAACTACTCTTTTTGCATAATTATATTTTAAATGGGCTTTCAACTCAAACTGATTTATTTTCATAATTTGTACTCATGGCTTGCATATTCACAGGGAATATAAAACAAGTCTAAATTATTTTTTTAACTTTAATCAGTGATATTATTTTTCTAGTGATCGAAGTAATGAAATATATTAATGACATAGAAAAAGACAAAAACATGTTATCATTAAAAAAAATGTGTCTAAAAAAAGTTATAAGCCTTATAAACTCAATGAATTGTGCGGAGCTTGTACCAAAAATTGCAAAACATTGTCAAGGTGACATGGATTTATATTTTTCACTATTGGATATATGTTGTGAACAAGCAACGTATGAACCGAAATATGGTCTAATCACAAAAGTAAAAATTTAATTTAGATACCATAGCTTTTTAAATCAAATTTATGTATTTTACTAATTTGAAAGGTTTCTTTTAAGCTCTATAAATGATTATAGATATTCCCAAAGTATGAAAATCATTAATTTTAAATTTTCTTTATCATTTATTACATAACACATTAAAACTTCCATTAACGGTTAATAATACATTAATACCTTTATATAACTCTAAATAACGGTCAAATTATAATAGAAAATTTATATATGTGTATGGTTTGCCCTTATTATTTATGGCACTATAGTTATCTTATTTAATTTTCACAATAGCACTATGAACAAGCCAGATCTTTGTATTTTATTATGTTTCATTTGTTGTCAGTGTAGATCAACAGTTTTGAAGTGCTTGATATTTGTTTTGTCCAAACAAAAACATCTAACTGCAGCAGAATAATAAGGCCGTTAGAATATTATAAAAAATAAAATGTGAGTGTGCATGCTCTCGCAGATTTGGAATAGGGAGAATTAATGTTACTCAATTTTTTTAATTTTAATATGTGCATGCTTATAATATACACAACTTTTAAATTTTAAATTGTTCATACATACATATAAGTGAATGACTTTTGTCATAAATACCTTTTGTAGTATGTGCATATTATTGTGTATGTATTTGGTTTCTTTTATGGGCTTTATACTCTGTCAAAAACTCGTCAATCCCCACCACTTTTTACTCAGAATTCGGGCCATGCATTACAGTGTCATTTTATAGTGATTTTAATTCATATGTTCGAGCTCGTTTCGTGTTATTTTTCAAATAATTAATAACAAAAATGTGTTGTATGGACTTAATAATATAATATTATTGTATTATTATCATTGGTATAATACGTAGCATATTATTATAATAGCCGACACGGACATTTTTCAAACTTACTACGTGTACAAAATAATTTTAATCGTAAAGTGGGGATATTTAACAGAGTTCCCATATTTCCGTCAGTTGTTTGCTCAAAAGGGTCTAAGTCTCTTGACAAACAGCATATATAGCTTTCATCTGGAAGTATTGTACTTCTATTAATACAGTCATCTCTGTAGGACAACCACCTCTAAATAGTAGTCATTATTTTTGATCTCTTTGGTGACCATTACATGGAAGTTTTACTGTAGTAAAGATAACATAATATAATATATAAACTATGTCACTTTTCAGGTTATTTTTGTCTCAATAATACTTAATTTTTTTTAGGAATTTTGTTGTTTGAATAAGAGTTTTGCAGATATGATAAAAATTACTTTTATATATTGTTATGTCACTAGTGACAGTTTTGCATCAAATAGAGCAGAAATTATTGCAAAATATTTTGCTCATATAGCATATTTAAATTTAATACCATGTCCACTTTCTGTCTTACTGCGTGGAAGATCTATTTATCCTAAGCATAGCTATTCTAAAATGTTTAATCAAGAACTCAATAACAGAAGAAAAAATTGGAAAAAAAAAATCTGTAAGTAAAATTAATTTATTCTTTTAATAATATAATTTTTTAAAAACTTTGAGGGCCACAGTAATTTTCTCGTGATATCAAAAAAAAATCTAGAAAGTCATATTTAAATGGTACTCAAAATAATTATAATGATTATTACTCTGTGGATTATGTGCATTTGAATTTCTTTCATGTAAAAACTGATTTAAATGTATAAAAATATATCTGACCAGACGAGTTTCTACTGCCATCATTGTATGATACCTATACCTTATCGTGTTTTCGGTGTATCTCATTTATGTGCTCCACCAAAACTGGAGTAGCCCTAAATATTTTCTATCCAAACTTGATCCACGCAACTTGCTTTGTGAAAGAAATTTGAAATGAGTTTTTGGATATGAACAAACTTATTTTTGTTGTGATGAAACCATGAAATCATTGTATGTAACAAACATACCGGAAACAATTGCCAACATTTCCACTTCTACTATACAACCTATCATTACGTGATTGGGTACTTGGATTGAAAGCGTTTTGTTTCCAGTGAACATTTCTTGGAAATAAAAAGGATAATAATTAACCAATTTCAAAAAATAATAAATATATAATTGGTGATCTGATCATTATCATAATTATTTCATAATTTAATGTCTATGTTTAAGGAGGATGTCACCTCCTTTAGACATTTCGCCACCAAGTTGCGCACTATGCTAATGAATTTTTTATTGAATTTTGAACATAAGATGTTAACATATCATTCAAATAGTGTTTGGTCTTATCAACTCTCTAAATAAGTGTTTAAAGAGGAATTTTACACAAATATGATTCCAAATTATATATTGGTTTGGATGACTTGCTATAATTAATTATATTTGTCTACAATATTAATTGCAATTAAAATATATTAAAATTATATGTTTTTTTTTTCATGCACAACTAATCAATTATGAATTGTTCAAAATACCTATGCTTTAATATGTAAGTTTAATTTTTAACAAATATATGTGTACACATTTAAGATGTATAAAAAATTTACAATTTTAAAATACTCATAGCTTGCGTTAAAATTAAAATATAATAAAAAACCTATGAGGTTGACTAGATAATAATCTTACCTTTAGATTTTTTAAGAGGTCAATTCGCACTAATTTTTAAATTAACGGAGCTACACGTGTTCTGCTGAGCGTAAAATTTGCCATGTTACGCACTTGTAAGACGGAGACAACTCATGCGGGTATCACGTCCTCTTAAAGCAATTTTTAAACGTAATTAACAAATAATTTTTAAAAAATGTAATTAATTTTAGTAACTAAAAATTAAATTATATTAGTATAATATATTTACAAAATACTCACATTTTAAGCACTTAAAAACCAGATATTTTTTTCTCTTGTCCATAAAAAATACATAAATGTGTAAAAAAAATATAAACATTTTTTTTTATTATTTCTGTGTTATACGAACACAATAAACTATTAAGACAATTTAAAACTCATTAATCTGTTAAATGAAATAATAGAAACATAAACATTATAACTACTCATATTAATAACCTTTTTTTCTTAAAATTAACTAATAAGTATAAAAGAAATACATCTCAACAAATATAATATGATTATTTTATTCTTAATTTTTACACCTCTGATCAGAACTAAAAGTAGAATAAAAGGTGTCAGCTCACTATTCGTTTTCTCTCAGCATATTTTTGTTAACCAACTCTGTGAATTCACTTATTATCGAACTTAAATCTAATAACATTACCTGTGTCCCTACCTCGGCTTTTATACAATATTTAAACTTATACAAAAATTAAAATATTATTTAAAAGCTAATTTAGAAACATGGGTTATGTTCTTATCTTAAAGTTTGATATTAATTGAATTCACTTAAATATTAAAAATAAAAACATAGGGTTTGATTCAGTTGAATGTAAATTTGGTATGTTGCTCTTGTGTTGGAGGGAGAAAACAAATGGTACGTTGATATCCTCTTAAGATTTTAGATTATAAAAAAACTATTCAATGATTAATAATATATTATTTTAATTTTCAGGAACTATTTGAAGCTCTTACCCAATTAAGATTTCATCTTGAACTACTGGAGTTACGCTCTTCTGATCGATTATAATAGGAGTTACTAATATTTGTTTCATGTATACGAACAATTTATACAAAATTTTTTTTAATAATCATTGTAATTATAATTAACCTTTGTTTTAATAATTACTGCAGTATAGTTAAATAGTAATTAATATAAAAAGTGTTTTATATTATGACAGGATTTTATTTTTGTTAATCTTCAAATAATAATTAATCTTCTATTTGTTCATTGTGATAGGATTTATTAACATTTGTTTTACGATTTTAAACCATTAATTAAAAATATTTGTAAATTATCATTGTACTTAAAATTATTCCTTATCAAGTATTTACTGCAGTATAATGCAATATTAAGTACTTAATATAAAAAGTTTTTTATTGGAAGACATTAATTTTTTAGGTTATTTTTTGACAATTTTTAAAGAATAATTCATCTTTCAATGCGCTCCCCTCTCATTCACAATTTCCATCACTTATTTGTACATTGTAACTTTTTTATAAAAAATTTATGTAACCTATTTATTGTTTATTACTACCTTCAATAAAATATTCTTTTTCAACTTTTTATTTACCCTGTCCTTCATTTTTATGTGGCCTTATATTAAACTTTTTGTACAAAATAAATTTTGAAAAGACCTACAATTTAATTTCATTTGTTGCGTGTGTAAGTAAAAAAAAACTTATTATTTGTGTTTAAATTTAAATACTAGAATGAGATTGTTTAGAAATTATTGAATAACTTAATGAATCTGTAGGTAATTGTGATGGATGCTACAAAGGCAGAAATGTAGAAGCATAGATTTAATCAGGGAGGGCGCAAGGGATGGTATAACAGTAAAGTAGTTTGAAAGGATGGGTGTGCACCATGTATCAGTTTAGAACACTTACCTGTTCTCCTATAAACTTGGTTACTGTTAATAATAGTAACATGATACCAATTTAAACTAATAGTGCTAATTGCTGATTTAAAAGAATATTTCTGAACCTTCCACCAGGTATGAGATAATAATTCTACAATTTTAGACAATAATTTATAAAAGTCATTAGATATAAATACATTTTTAAATTAAAATAGTTATCAATTGACCTCAGGACTTTTTTTAAAGTATCTCCTAAGTGTTGGCTCAGGCAGTCAGGTACGTCAAAATTTTTTGCTGACTTATTATACGATAGATGACAATGCATACAGTAGGTTCTTTTTGTTGAAAGCCACTCTTAGGGAGAGCTATTTACTGGTTTATTTAGTACAATGATTTGAGAAAAATTCAAACGTGGCAAATAATTTGTTGCTTATCTTAGATAATACTTTCATTACATAGTCAATTCTAAATTTTAATGTTTATAATATTTTTCGACGGTAACATGAATGGATACAATTTAGACCATTATCGTTGGACAATTTATTTCATTCACATTATTTTGATACACACATAATTATACGTCAAAGCTAAGAAATTGACAACTTCAAAAATTACACGATTAAAATGATTTTTAAACCACAATGGTGTTCTCCTTCAGATAAATTCATCAGTCTTGTTGTTGATAAATAATTATTTTTAACAAGAGAACCTGGTTTTTTACCAACTAAAAAAGAATAATTTTAAGGTAAGACTAATTAAAATATCAACAAATGACTCCGGGATATTCTGGATAATAATTTTGCTTCGAAATGCTATGATAGGTCAAATTCTTTGTAATTTTGAAAATCGCAATAAAATACTAAATTAGATTAAGGTGAAATGTGCTTGCTGTACGTTTGAAGCAGATCAGCGTTCACAATGTTCACATATAATTATTATGCTTGTGCCGCGGACAATGGATGAGTAATCTTAAATCTTAATGTCCAGGCTGATTATAAAAATTAAGATTGATGTACGCTAACAACATGTTATAATCGTGTTATAACCAAGAAAATTCTTGGTGGTTGGCGCAAAACGCGGAGCTGTGCCATGACAGGGGCTACGAAAAATTATAATATATGGTATAAATCTGGGGTGGGTAACTTACTGGCGGCCCGTGTGGCTTTATCTGTCCCGAGCTATACTTTCAAATTACATCATACAATATTTTATAGTCTATACTGTATGATTTATTTTACACCAATTAAAATGTATATTTTGAAAGACACTTTTTGAAGTGAAAACTTCTTTAGGCGCGTTTAGCACTTTGTGGGTACTGAATTGAACTGAGCCGTCACACTTGGCTATGTAACGCCCATTCGGATGAAGTCGGCTCGAGTCGACTAAGCATGAGAGGAACAGTCAGCAGAGCGAGAGTGAAAAATAGTCGAAGCGTCACTGCCATACTTGCTCGGAAGAATTGGTTAGGTAAAGTTAGGGTGTGTTGCTTAAGATGTTAGGGTGGGTGTGTGTGTGTTTGTATTTCGTATTATTAATTTCGCCTTGTTGAAGTTTTCACTTCTATCGTGTGGTCTTATGCATACACATTTTTCTTTTTTTAAGAAAAAATCCATTTTCTAGATAAGATTTGAATAGAAGGTAATTCAATTTTTTAGCAAGTTATATGTATATAATATACGGTAAATTAAAAATGTTCATAATTCACTTAAAAATTGAATTATTACAAAAAACCAACGTACAAGCACAGATAATGTTCTTACCATCAAGTTTCATAATAGGTCGACTCACTCTAATTTTTAAACTAAAGAAGCTACAAGTGTTCTGCCGAGAGTAATTTTGTTATATTACGCACGGGTAAGACGGCGACAACAAATACTAGTGCTATGTCCTCTTAAGGTCTCTAATTAATGTAATTGGTTGGCTATAGTGCCGTACTTTGTTGAATGCTTGCTTGAATGGTAGGTATAGGTAGGTAGGTACGTTAAAAACATGGGCGGTATTTTCTGCTCTGGCCTGCTAGATTTTAATTTTCTAAAAATTGGCCCTCAAGTAACTTTAAGTTGCCCATGCTTGGTATGGATAATTAATGATTACCCACCGATAATAATTATTAATTTATTATCTATAAATTGTCCTAATCGTGGAAAAAAAATCCCCTGGCAGTGGTGGATTTAGCGTCAGGCAAAGTAGGCAGTTGCCTTGGGCCGCAAATTTTTAGGTGCGGCAATTTTAGGCCAATATTTTATTGAAAATACTAGGTTTCTTTTTGATTTTCTAATGTAGGGTGATTGCTCTAAAGAATGGCAAATAAAAATGCTTAATATTTAAATATAATATTTTATTCTTGTTAATATAATTAACATTTCTTCTTTATTTTATAATACATAACAATAGACGTCCAAGTAAATAAATTATCGAACGATTGCCGAAACTTATATCTATTATCTAAATACTAACCACAGATAACCATTTTAACAAAAGCAAGACGCAAACAAATGAAATAGTTTATTTTCTTACATTATTTTTTATCATTAGTTGTATGTTGCACAATAATAAGTACACATTTTTAAGTTTGATTATTTGCATTTGTTTTTTATAATAATATAATTTAAATTTGATTGAACACATTAATTTTTCGAAGGAACCTAATAATATCTATACAATATTTATATTTAATTGGTTGAGAAATTGTATTAAAAAAAAATGGTGATATATTAAACCTATTTTAATAAATATTATATTGGTATACAACTATTTACTTGATTATAATGATTATCTTCCAATCACAGAACGCATAGCCATCGCCTTGGGGGTCAGACGATAAACGGCGGCTCAGTCTGTGTGCGCGAAAGCGGTTCATTCTTAGATGGAATAGAGTATAGAACAGTCTATTAACATAACCAATAATTATTGTTAAATATCAGTGTTTATGATTTATTGTTTTAGCAGTTATGTTAAATAAGTAATTAAAAATACGTTTTCTCGTTAAATAAGTTTGATGGGGCGGCCAAATTAAAATTTGCCTAGCGGCGGCAAATTTTGTAAGCCCGTCTCTGAGTCACCAGGGATGACCCAATGAAGCAATAATATGGTGATATTATCAATAAACTGACTGTATAATAATTCTGGTGAGATTTTTATCACACTGATTAGGGTTTTCAAATTTCTTGGACGTTTTGATAAGAAATTAAAGGTAACTACGCAGTACGCATTAAAATTTTAAAATCCATGACAAAATAATTTATTTTGTTATGAAAATCATTTGGTCATTCGATTCATCTGAACTCCGTTAGTTGAAACCCATACTACTCTCGTAAATGTCGAATCTTAATAAATAAATTATATTCATACAAAATAATTATGGTCAAACACTTTATAAAATATTATTTTTAAGAACATTTCTACTTTATATAAGATTTATAAAAAAAATGTTCCCAATTTTCCAATTTGAAATCAATTAGTCATATATTAAATTAAATATTTAATTAGATAGGTTAACATTAATTAATTTGTATTTGATATCAGCATTACAATCTCGATTTTTTTAAAGACTTGCATTATGTTGATATTATTTTAAAAAAAAATTGAATTACTTTAGTAACCATAAATACATTAATTTTTATATTTTAGACCATCTGAAATTACACTAAATAAGTAATGATGTTTTATTCTACTGTGAATAATCAGAATACAGTAAATTGGAGAAATAATTTGGATGATATATCCGATCATGATGAGTAAGTTACAGATTAATTCTTAATTTCGGGGCGCCATTTCTGCATAAGTAAAACACCGAAACCAAAAACATTTACTGCGTATAATATCTGACCATCTTCAGTCTTAAAAAAATGTTAATATCATTATGCATTGCTTATATTTATGAACTAATGCTTCTTTTGTATAGGAGATGCTAACAAAAACAAAAAGCTTAATTGTAGTGCATTTAATAACAAGGTCCATGAAACCATTTGCAGTGAACATGTTAAATAGTTAATTAGGTCAATTTTTTTTTCTTTGTCAGCCACTTAAAACTATTTCATGTTACCATAAATTTAATATAAAATGTCTTGTATATGGTTATGTTGTACATGTAAATACAATAATAGTTATAATGAAAAAAATTAATATCACTTAAGTAAATTACCTATTTAGTTTACAATAAAAGTTCAATATTTAAGAGAATTCTACCCAAGCACTTGTTGTCTCTGTCTTATAAATGTGCTATGTAACAAATTGTTGTTAGGTAAGAACAGTAACTATGCTTATGAGGACGTTATACCCGCACGTGTTGTCTCCGTCTTACAAGAGCGTAACATATCAAATTGTACGTTCAGCAGATCACGCTTAGCTCTGTTAGTTTAAAAATTAGAGTGAATTGACCTCTTATTAAAGTTAAAGGTAAGATTATCAAGGAGGGCTTCTCAAGGGCTTTTTATTATATTTTAATTTTAATTAATAAACTCATAACTCTCTTTAAAATTAAAATATAATAAAAACCCCATGAGAAGCCCTCCTTAATAATCTTACCTTTAGCTTTAATAAGAGGTTAATTCACTCTAATTTTTAAGCTAACAGAGCTAAGCGTGATCGGCTGAACGTACAATTTTATATGTTATGCTCTTGTAAGACGGAGACAACACATGCGGGTGTAACGTCCTCTTAAGAGTCAGCTTTTAACTCAATATTTTAATTTTCAAGGTGATATAAGCATTTTTAAGTTTCTAGTATTTCACATACCCATATCTTATTTGCAAATCAAAATATTGAAAAAAATTGCTTATGCTGAAGCTCAGATAATGTATATTCATACCTAAAAGCTATATAGTATAGGTGTCAATTCATTATAATATCAAAACTAACAGTTTACAATTGAAACCAGTCAACATAAATTTGGTATGTTATATGTTTCTGACACAGAGATAACAAACCCAAAGTTAGAACTCTTAATTATTATGAACAACTAAAAATGATTAAGTAAATAAACCTAAAATATAAATAAAAATGGTCTCTTGGTATTCCCTACCAAGTAGAAAAATCAAATAGGTGGGCAAATGTACACAATCCTTTACTTTCCAAATGGCGTCCCTTATTTAACCTTTTTTAAATTAAATCAATTTAATATTATGTTTAAATTTTAGTGATTTGGATAATGAATTGCCTCTTTCATCAATATCAGATTTTGGGCACCCAATTGGTAATATTTCAACTATAAAAAGTTACGTTAATAAATGTAAATCTGTTGACCATCAAACAAAAGGAAAAATTAAACAGGATAACAAATTACCTCATCCGTCAATAACAGATTTTGGGCACCCAATTGGTAATATTTCAACTATAAAAAGTTACGTTAATAAATGTAAATCTGTTGACCATCAAACAAAAGGAAAAATTAAACAGGATAACAAATTACCTCATCCGTCAATAACAGATTCTGTACACTCATTTAATGACCATAAAAAAATAAAACATGTATTTAAAAAATATGAAACAGTTGACCATCAAATTGAACTGGACATTTATCAGTATAATGAACTACCTCTTTCATCAATAGCAGATTTCTTGCCTCCAATTGATCATAAGCTTCAAAATAGTGAATTACAAAAATGTGGAACTGTTGATTACCAAACAGAAGAAAATAATAACAAAAAAGACAAATCAACTCTTTCATCAATCGTACATTTCCTGCATCCGTTTGATGACAAATTCATAAAATGTGAGGCTGTTGATAACCAATCAAAAGAAAACATTAATCATTACAACAAATCTGAACCAAATAGATTAATATGCAATAATGAACAGAGTACAACTATTGTAGATGATCCATTAGATAAATATGAGTGTGATATTTGCGGTAAAATCTTTCCTAAGCGTGCTGATATAATTCAACATTTTAAAACTTCATTGTGCTTTCCAGAAATTATATGTAAGTATATTTGATAGTTTTTAATTTCCAAAATAATAACATATTATTTTATAATAGTTGAATGTGCTAAAATATAAATTGAATATATTTTTTTTGATAAACTCTTTGTTTTTAAGTCTAATTAATTATTTATATATATGTATGTAATTATAAGAGAGCTTAAATTTTTAAAGACGAGGGACTTATTATATTAAGTTTTGCTTATATTAATGTACTTATTTAAATTTTCCTAAGTTGCATTAAAAAATGTATTTAAAGTTACTGTAGCAAAATTACTTTTTACTATAGTTAATAAATATGTAATTTAAGTTACTTTTTTGTACTTTTGTTATTTTGTTATTGTAATTGAGTTATTTTTATACTTTTAAAACATAACCTAATGTAACTTGACCTAATAAAAAAAAAGTAACTTAAAAATAATTTAGTTACAATTTTGATAAGGAATTAGTAATGTAATTCAATTACCAAAAAAAAGTAACTTCCCCAATACTGCTAGTTTGTGGTATTGATAAGATTTTAGTACTTCTGTTTTATCATATTATGTTTGTTATAATTGTACAATTAATAAAACATTTTTCTATGTAAATAATTCAATACATCACATTAATGCTAATGTCGGTCAAACAGTGTGGGGAGTATAGATCCTTCCATGACCTTTTTCCAATATTCAAAATAAAATATATTTTTAATAATCAAATAGCGCATATTAAAAAGTCAGCTATATTTCCCCATCCTCCCTCATGACAAAAATCTTCAACTATCGCTGATTAATACTATATTAGTATACCAATAGTACACACATAGGGCTCATTGTATTTTTATGTTATACAAAAAAATATTTGTATCATCTTAATTAAAATTTATCAAAATTGTATGAACCAAATTAATTAATAACAATAGAATATTGGTGTTGGTGTATCTAAATAATTCAATTAGAAAAAAAATTAACTTCTATTATCTAGTAGGTACTGAGAATCTATATTAAACAAATAATACAAATATTATTTTGTTTATTATGTCAAGTTTTTGAAAGTAAAATAATGACAAAAGTCGTACATAAATACTGTATAATTCAACTGTAGAGTACCAATAAACATAATATGTAATAACAAGCAAACAAGGTACTCTATCTTACACAAATTATAATACTTGGATAAATGACTAGAGAATTGTATCTATTAATCTATTATTATTCATTTATTATTACTATATTTTCATTGAATTATGATAAACTAATGTAAGATAATAATCTAATGAAAAAAATGAGTTAATAATTTTCAGAATATTGCCAAGTTTTTACACATAACTGATGTCCTATAACTTGGTATTACGATAACTGCAGCTTAGCATGTCTTTTTTTTTTTCATTGAACTTAAACCCGACGACTAAGGCCATTAGCTGTTGTAGGGGTTATGAACTGTAGTAGGGGTAAGGTTGGTACGGTAGGTTGTTTTTATGATTGTTAGGGTTGTTACAGTAGGTAGCAAACACGTGTATGTGTGGCAAGGTTTTAACTACTACAAACCCGGGTGGTCACCCATCCGGGAGCTAGTAGTTGTGGCCGTTACTTACTCTCAGTCGCATTCAGCGACTGGTAGCAGCCAACGCGCCACGCCAAGCCTCATATTAGTCTTTTATTTTATTTGTTTTTGGTAATCAGTAATTGCCAAATTGCCTAGTTTGTATTCATAAGATATTTTTTCACATGTCAATAACACACTACTCAAATAATAATTATCTTGTTTAATTTGATAAAAAGTACCGCATTATTTATTGTTCATTTAGATAACAAATATATAAAAGATCAGAATAAGAGTTATCATATTTTTTTTATTTAAGCTTCGACAACTGAGGCCATTAGCTGTAGGTTGTGGTACTGTAGGGTTTTAGAACTGTAGAGTTACGAAACACGAGTGTGTTTGTTTGGCAGAATTTCTAGTGGGCACCCTCATATATATTTGTGTTATTAACATTCAATTTTTCAAACATAAATGTATACGGTTATATGATGATACATTCATTTTTTTATTATTATTATTTTTATAACTTACAATTCAAATAAATATAAGTATTGAAATTGATAAGAATCAAATTATCAAATATAATTTTGTACAATTTAATTACACTTCAATATTTTTTAATCGATCATCAAACATTCGTATTCGAGCATTTAAAGATTGCAAATTAGAAACTGCACTTGCTAAATGTTTAGGTATATACGTTTCAATATTATTAAGTAATAGTGCATTGTTCTTGAGAGTCTTAGAGGTTTCTGAATATTGAGTTCTAATATTGTTCACTGTTACGGCAAATGCCTCAACTAAAACAAATTATTTAGATCAATTTTATATAAACCATTTGCAATTTTTAAATTAACAATAACCACTTAACAGTTAAGTAGAAAGTTTAAACTAAATAGATTTGAGATTTGTACAAAAATTAATTATTTAATCATAATTATGTTAATCAACAATTTTAAGAACGCCATACTATGTTGAGACTTAATACTTAAGTTGTAGGTGATAAATTATTTTAATAATGAGAGAATTATAAAAAATATAAAATTGTGTTTGTGTTTTCATAGGTTGGAAACACAATAAATACGATCATTTAGTTGATGATGTTTTTAAGATGTCCATGTGTATTGTTGAAAATATGTATTAATATTAGAATAATATAGTCAAAGAAATACATACCTAATGGTGTAAAAAAAATATTTTTAATTGTACAATGTTAATTAATTTTGAAGTTTGTAAAGTTAAAAAGTTTCTTTATAAATAAGATTCATATCTGGCAAATCTGACAAAATCTAGACAAATCTGTCTACTTAACCATTAAATAGTGACTGTAGATTTCATAATTAAGAAATGCTAATATGCTACCTTTAAGACGAAAAATTTCTAAAATGGTCATTCTTTGTAGAATGTGGGGTAACAAATTTGATTCTTCTCTTGCTCTTAAAAGAGCTTCATAGAGTTTGTTAGTTTTTTTATCTACTTCTAAATGTTGATCAAGTTCTTTTGAAGTAATTTGTTTTAACTTAGGTAATAAGTAAGCAACTCTGGATTCAATTACATTAATTTGAGGTAAAATTTGTTTGGACAATCCTCTTAATACAGAAATGGCTTCAACCAATCCATCACTGTTATTGTTACCAGCTAAGCGTATCTGTAAAATAGTTTAAAAGTTAAAGCAGGAAGTGAATAGTGTACATGGATCTATAGAGACGTAGGCGGTAAATGTTCAATAGGAAAAAAAATGCTTGTACCAAATGTTTAATGTAGTAAATAATTAATTAAATAATAATAATAATAACTTATATTAGAGTGTTTTACTACATAATTTTCTTAGTAAGGTTTAACAAAACTCATGAACTATTTTGCAAAAAATTAATATTATTGTCAAAAAATTATTAACAACTGATCCCCCTAGCTACCAGTTACATCCAATTGTTATTTGAGATTAGCAAAGCTGACATAAAGTTTTAAATAATTAAGGAATTATAAGGATGCCACAAGTGAACGTGCACTACTTACCCTACTCAAGAAAAATTAAAAAATTAAAAATTAAAACAAGTCAAAACACGCGGCCCACGTCATAATGGAATTGATGTGCACATTCATTTCTATACACATAGCCAATTAAATTGTTTTCAGCAAATTATTTTTAACATTGCTTGTCAACATCATAATTTATTTTTACTCTCACTCATATTATTATATTCTGATCATCAGTTGATAATTTTCATAAAAGTTATTTAATACAATCTGTAGTAAATAAATATATAATATTGCTTATATTTATTTTAGATGTGCATTACTTCATTAAAAACCCACAGCCCCACTAAACGCCATGCAAAGTTGTAAAAAAACATTTACCATAAAAAGTATTTTAAAGATCTAAATCTAAATCATATAAAGTTATGATTGCACAAACCAACTTAAAACTGTAACTTATTTTCTAATGTTCAATCTACATAAATATTGTATTGTTATTTATTATGTTTAATTGTGTTGTATTGAACTTGCTGCACCCACCACAACATATGTTTTTGGGATGTTGTCATAAGCCGTATCTACTTTTAATTTTTGTTGTGTCTTTATGTAAACATATATTTTGACAAGTAAACAATATATTATAATATTATTATTATTACTTATTTAATTAAGATTAATATTAACATTAAGTGAAATATAAACAAACTTTTATGCTTTTAAAATTTAAAATTATTAATTTAAAAAAACATAGTACTCCTCACCAAAATTGTTTTTTCAGATCCAATAATTACTTCCAATTTTTGAAGACGATTTTCTAATCGTGATATTTGTTGTAATTGTACACTCTTTAATGTATTAGGTTTTAAATCTGTTAGTGTTGTTTCAATATTCAACACTTTGGAAATATTATTAATCAAAATGAATTGTTCTTTATCGACTCTACACAGATATTTTTCTAACAATTTAGTACTAATGTAATTTCTGAAAATAAAAATGAGACATTAAAATCAATTAAAGATAAATTGATATACAATTCAAATATAATAGAACATTTTTTAATAATAGCAACTACCAAATGAGAATTATTATTAGATACAATCAAAATTTACAAAATTCTTTGAAAAATGTAATTTAGAATAACTCACTGTAAATTAAAAATTTTAGTATTTTCATGACTTTCTAGAAATAATTGTCCATCAACACTGTACATTAGTAATTTGTTTAGTATATTTTGTATTTGAAATCCAATATTAACACACAGGCTTTCATTTTGATCAATTTTGTTCACCTTAAAATAAAATTGTACTGACTAGAATTTGGTTACACACAAATATCTAATCATAAATTATCATTGATAGGTAATTAAGTAGTTTTATTTGTTTTATATATACAGTATGTCCTAAAAGTCCATAGTATCACCCTTAGTAGCTCTGTGAAAAATCTATATATTTCAACGCGGATTTCTTTAGTTTTTACAGAAATAAGTATGAAAATTAAAGTTGAATGGCATGAAATTAAATTTGTTTATACAATAAAGTTTTTTTAAATTTACAAGATACCATTTTTGTAAATAATTTTTTTTAAACTGATTCTAAAATATTATATTAAAATTGAGTGAAAATTAAAGAAAATTAAGTTTTTGAATTTCTAAGAATGATATTTATGCTATCAAAATACAAAATATCACATGCAATTTTTTTAAGATCATTTCAAAATTAATATAATTTATGTTAAGTATACTAGTATACACAGTATAAAAATATACCTTAACTTAATAAAATAATTTTAAAATTGGCACAACATAATAGCTGGATGGCCCATTATAATCTAAAGAATGTATAAAATGTATTCTAATGTATTCAATAAAATATATAATATTTCTAAATTATTTTCAAACAGCTTTTTCAGTTTTTTGTGATTCCCTCAAAAAGTCAAAAGTCAAACAATTATTTGTTCTATTATCAATATATTAAAGTGCTGAAATAAACTTATAGACACAAGCTTGTGCCCGGGTGTGCACTATAGGGCTATTATAGCCACACTTGTGGCTAGGTATTTTTTTAGATAGGTCCCAGGTACTTTTGTAAAAAGAGCCAATAACTATCTATTTTCGAAAATCAGAAAATTTTTTATGAATTTGATCATAAAAATCGTGGCGACTGGTACTAGACATATTATGCTTTGAATGTAAATTTAATTTTTTTTAAGGGGATGTTTTGTAAGTGGGTGGATGATCAAAAAAAATAAAAGGCGGTGAAACAGAAGGTTGTGCACTTCTATGCTTGTAGAATTTTGTAATTTCTTAAAGTATGTCAACTGAAAAGTACAAACCAATAGTTCGGATTCTAATATAGTACCAGAATAGTTTTAAACACATCAGATACCTAATATATTTATAGAAAATAATTTTTATAAAATATGAAATTCATAATATAGAAAACTAACTATTTGAAAATTAGATTCTTGTATCAACAAATCCTCGGTTTCAAACTTCAATCTATAATATTTTTGCAGTGGCGTCTCTTGTTCCCCTTGAGCAGCTAATTCCCAATAATCACTCCTAAAAATAGATATAATATTTTACTTAAGTTTAGTACCTACATGTATGAACAATTGTTAATATTTACTTTAACTTATGTTTAATTTTAGATGATTTGTTTAAACTGTCCAAAACATCTGGGGAAAAATTAACATTACTTGAATCCACGAAATATTTATAATATCCGCTTACATTTCTTTGAATATTAGAATTAATATCTTCAATTTCCTTGATTAAAGAAAATTAACATATTCTTAACAATTAGATGGATTATAATCAGTTGTAATTTAAACGCATTTTAAAAACTAAAAATATTACCGGATTATTGAACTTCATTAAAACTAGTTTATCATCTTTGAAAATAGCAAGAGTTTCCCATTTCTCTTGGATATGACGGGGGTGTGATTTCCAATTACTCTAAATTAATACAATCATAAAAAAAAAATTGTAAGCTAGAAATTGTATTTAAGTTGAAATTTAATTGTGTAACCTCACATGTGGTATACTGGTAAGCATACCTAAAGGAAAATATATAATACCAGTATATACATAGGCACCAGCAAGTTATTTTTTCAGGGAGGCGTTTACTGCATATACTCTGTTCAAGTTCAGAAATATAGTTGGTGGCGACTAATTTTTGTAGGGCAGCAGTCAAGCAACACCTATTTGTCACCCTCGCCGTGTCAACTATTTGTACACCTGTAGAGTGGTTTTGAAAAGCCCCTGCACATAAGTCAACCACAGACTATGTTTCTTAGTTTGAACAGAGTATAGTAATTGATAATATCTATAGACAGTATATACCTTCACCATAAGTGAATGTTAAATTATAACTACAATTGGTTAATTATATAAAAATTCCTACTAAAAATAAAACTACCTTTGGAATCAATAAAAAATGAAGGTATGAATTGTATGGATCAGTAGGTATAGTCCACTATCTTATAGAAGTATAGCAACAGAAGTCAGAAAATTAACAAAAAAAATTCTGTTCCATATGTATTTTTCAACTAGGTAGGTACTTTAGTATTTTTTAATATCTAATTTTATTTCTTATGAAGTGTTTTATTTAGGTTTCTGAAAAATATTGTAAATTATGGAGGTACCTACCTAAATATAGGTATCTAATCTAACCAATGATATATACATTAATTAAAAATTAACAATATTATATTAATTAGGTAAATATAAATAAGAAAGAATAAAACTAGTCTGTAAAATTACTATGGAGCAATTAAAATTATTAATCAAAATTATGTTTATAATACATATGTCAAACATATTTTTTTTTTCTATTAAATCAGAAATAAAATATTAAGTACTGTACTTACAGTTCCATTGAATTGAGTTTCTTTAGGATCATTCATATTTTGCATAAAAAGTCAAAAACGCAATAGGTACATAACACAAAAAAAATTACCTACTTTAAACACTACATATTTCTTAGCATAATAGGCAAATTCTTGAGTCTTGGTACAAATAACTATATTTTAATGTTACATAATATTATTTGTTAAATAATAACAACAATTAACTGATCAGTGATTGTCACATAAATAATGTTTAATCATTATTCATAAGATAAACTAGTCATATTTTGGTGATTTGATCCAAATCTACTAATGTTGTATTGAAAGGTAATTGATAAACATATTTTTTGAAAACGAAATGTATAAAATAAACGTTAACTGCCAAAATGTGTGTGATTGTCTTTAAGTTTGCAACTATTTATTGACCAAGCAATTGATAAGAAAACATACAATCGCAATCATGGCTATCCATATTCCATACCATAGAGTAATACTCTATGATCCATACGACGGACCAGACAATAAAAAAATTCGTACCTATTACCATCGATTAAATAAACACAATATATTTAATCTATGTAGTTGCGGTCACTGAAAAAAAAAGGTTAAGCATCAGTGCATCACTGCTTGTACTGTATACAATATATTATTACGATTATACTATTGTTATAACTTATAAGTTATAATTATTGTTATGCTTTATTTATTTTATCGGTCGCCAATTGACTGTTATTGTGAGTTGTGACGACTGACGAAAATTAATTTATACCAAGTTAATACCACATATTGTTCAACATTTGTCTTTAGATTATATAATTTATACTGAATAAGACCTAATATCAAATTGAATACTAAAATGTTTTAAGTAAGTTTTAATCGTAACCAATATAAATAACGGAAACAATAATGACCATTAATTCAATCTTATAAAGGACCTTAGGTTTGATCGTTATTATTCTATAATGTTTTTAACCTAATCTTTTTTTATAAGACAGTGGGTATAATTATAATTCATAAACAGGGCTCGGGACTTAATGTGCTTAAAATCTTAAAAATATTGATAACGATAAACAATAAAATTGATTTACGAATAAATAATCAAAAATTATTTTTAAATACTATGCAATAAAAATCAATGAATTTTAAAAATAATAAATATGCATGTGTAGAGAAAAATCCAAAATATGCAAAAATATGCTCAATAAACTTTAAAACTTTAACTCCAAACACCGCAGAACAAATTTGTACCGGAACCGGATCAGATATTTTTTTCCATTTACTTCCCAAACAAATATGCAAATGTATTAAGCCCCGAGCCCTGTTCGTAAAGAAATTAGAATTAACCCAGATCTGCAACTAAGAGACGAATTACTCAAAATATAATTTTATTTAATAGGTTTAAAATGCCTACAATTCTACAGTAACAACTATAGGTACATCGATAATTGAATATTTCTATATTAAAATAATGCGTTTATAAATTGTAATATTATAGTGTTTTATATGTATTTATGTTTAATACCATACGTTTTATTACACGAAATACGAAAGTGCCCCATTATTATTTAATATTTTATTTTAAACCACACGGAAACAATAATTGAATATTGAACTCACACCACTTGCCATGTAGTTAATACGAAGCATCTATGTTAATATTACACCAGTCGATCAGCTTTGGTTTCAATAAATTAGATAATACAATTTAGTTCATCTTTTTTAATACTTCATAGTTTAATACTATTTATTACTTATTATCAGGGATCGGGACTTATAGCACTTACAATCATTAAAATAAACGCCTATGCAAGTGCTTAAAAACATCATTATAAGCCCTTTTATAAGCACTCCAATAAATATTTAAAAAACTTAAATTCAAACAAAAATATTCAAAAAAAAAAAATTTGGACTATTTTCACTACTGGAGAGTTCGGGAGCCAAGCCCAGTCTTTTAAAGTTCTTAAGTAAAAGTATTTGAATAAAAATACAATTTTAAAATACTTATTCGTTTTAGATTATGTATTTTCTATTTGAGTTTTAATTTTAATAGCGTAAAAAAATAAAATCAAGATTTTTTTCTTTACTAGGTACTCAATCGAAAATTCCAATACCTACTTCGACAAAAAAATCAGATGTGTATATTTTGACAGCTACACCAAGTGATACGGTATACAATGCTCTATAAAATTAACGAAAGACCTGAAAGTTGATTTATAATTTGAAAAAAGGTATTTATAAAAAAATTTTAAAAAAGTAGCTGGTACCTAACTGAAAGTATATAATATCTATAATTACTTTTTAGTTGATACTCAATGATAGTGATACAAAAATAAATGATTGATTAAGATTTTTTTTTAAATAATCTGATTTGTTGTGTTGAAAACAAAAAATTTGATGGCTCGAGAATTGTGCAAATTTTGATTGCACTATCGTTTTAGCTCGTTAACATACATAAGTTTAAAAAAAATTGAACAATTTGGGAGGGGTGGTAAATAACTAAGTTAGGTATTACCATAGACATAAAACAACTAGATAAAAGTCTTACAATCATAATATGCCAACAGGGCAAAATTGCATGGTTAATAATATACATAATATTATCTTCGTAGCATATTATATTCCATATAAATATGTATATATATATATATATATTACCTAATGAGTTATTTCGTAAACATTGCCCCGTTGACGTACGGCCGCACTCACGACTTCAATGTTCCTGTACACGCAGTCCGGTATCTATAGTTGTTTTATATGTCTATGGCCATTACACACTTAATCATTTAATATTGTTTATAATTTAAATATGTGTAAAATAATTAATATGGCAGGCGTGGATCTAGAACATATTAAGGGGGGGGGGCATCTTAAATACAATATCAGCCTAAGTCTGACAAAAGCATTGTACATACTATGTAAGCTAATAGGTAAATATTATTATTTAAATCCCAGTTTATCAGTACAATAAAATAAATAAAATAATTAGATAAGTAATATAAATCAATTAAAATAATGATACGTAATATATAATGTTGAGGTAGACAGATATACAGAAGCTAAAGGTAAATAAAAATAAGATCGGATATAATATGTAATAATATAATAATATGTATAATTGATATGAATAACTATAGTGCTCCAATGCGTAATATAAAACAACGACTAATCGTCCTACAGGCTAGTACATATAACGAATACGCTATAGAAATATAAAATGACTAGCGTCTGCTGTACTACAGTGTGAAATGTGTGAATAATTTGCTTATAATCTATATAATACAGGGTGTGTTGTTTACATTCAACACTTCCCCTTAAACAATATACCCTAACTTAGAATTAATATATCTAATTCCCAACATCTCCCTGATTTCTTGGAATCTTGGTCGTGGAGTTGGCTTAGTCAATATGTCAGCTAACTGCTCCTTGCTTGGCACATACTCCAGAGAAAACATCCCTTCACTGAACTTCTAACGAATGTAGTGATATCGAACATCGATGTGTTTGGTTCGCTTATGGTATTCTGGATTTTTCACTAGTTTGATGGCACTTTGGTTGTCTGCATACAGAACTGGTGTATCTCCCTGTGTCTCCAGAAGATCACTGATAAGTAGCGTCAACCAAGTAAGTTCCTGTATCGATTGGCTCAGCGCTATGTATTCTGCCTCAGTAGTCGAAAGTGCTACCGATTTTTGCCTTTGTGAACACCATGCTACGATTCCATCTCCCATCATGAAAATGAATCCTGATGTTGATCGTCTCGTTGTTGTGTCACCGGCATAGTCTGCGTCACTATATCCACGCAACTTTGGTGTTACACTAGAATCATAAATTAAACCATAATTAAACGTTCCCTTTAAATATTTAAATATACGTTTCACCGCATTCCAATGAATTGTCAGAGGCTTTTCTAAATAACGACTGACAAGATTTACTGCAAAAGTTATATCAGGCCTTGTTATTTGGCTTAGATACAACAAACTTCCAACTGATTCTCTGTATGGAACTTCCCCTGCTTCCAATGACCCTGACAAATTTGGATCTAATGAGTGTTGTGGATCTGTGGGAATATGCAGGACGTTTGCTTCTTCCATATTGAACCTCTCTAGAATGCGCTTGCAATATGAAGATTGGTGTATGAAAATTGAACCATCAGGTCTCTGATCAATTTCAATACCCAAGAAATGATCAAGTTCACCTTCCTTCGTCTCGAAGTTGTCCTTTAGGTAGTTCACCATTGTGTCCACCAGCTCGTTGTTTGTTGCTGCGATTAGCCCATCGTCTACAAAAATAGCGACAATTAGTAATTGATTATTTTTATTGCTTACGAATACACAAGGGTCTGCTTTTGTTTCCTTTAGGTCAAAGTTCACCAGCATATTTTTGAACTTTTTGTTCCAGCACCTGGGTGCCTGTTTCAACCCATATAGGCTCCGTTGAAGTTTGCATACTAATTGTGTTCCATCTTCGTAACCTTTTGGCTGTTTCATATAAATGTCTTCTTCAAGATCTCCATATAAGAACGCTGTTTTAATGTCAAATTGTCTGAGCATTAATTTCCTGGCTGCTGCTATCGCAAGTATTACTCGAATTGAATCGTATTTCACTACTGGACTGAACGTTTCTTGAAAATCTATTCCATGAACTTGCGCACATCCCTTTATTACTAACCTTGCTTTGTACCGATCAACATCTCCATTTGCTTTGTATTTAGTCTTGTATATCCAACCATTATTGATAAGTTTTATATTTTGAGGCAAGTCCACAAGTGTCCTTGTTAAATTTTTATTCAATGACGACATTTCATCATTCATTGCTGTCTTCCAATCATCTGAATTGTCGCCTGTCATAGCGTCTTC